TTACCCTTACAACTCTTTTCTCCTTTTCACAGGTTCAGGAGTTAACCTTAGAAGCCACTCACCCCTCTTTTAAACTAAAATCGAAACTTAGAGCTAGAGGAGAATTCTCAATGATTTATTACAGAGTTTTCATACTATTTTTGTTTCAGTTATTTTCTTAACCGAGCATGGATGAGTGGGGTGTTTATAAGCCATAAATGGATTTAAATTTGGAGCCAAAATGGTCTCATCTAGGGTTTTCGGGATACTAGCAGTGCCACCGCCAATACTGGGTGGTACTACCGCCTGCAGCACTGATAATGGATGGTACCACCGCCCAATCTGACGGTACCATCATTTGACATAGTTTGGGAGACTGTGTTTGGGCGGTACCACTACTCAATCTAGCGGTACCACTGCCTAACATAGTTTGGGAGATTGTGTCTGGATGGTACCATCACTAGACCCTACTATAAGACATTGAATGGGCCAAATAGTAGGCCAAATTCAGCCCTGATTCGGGCCCAATTGGCCCATAATTGAGTTGGCATTGTTTCATCCCAAAACTAACTCAATTAGACCTAATTAATTCGATCTAGATACACATGATTACAAGCATGAATCCTATGTTTTCCGATATGTCATTGGTTCATTCGGTACTTCATCCGGTCCTTTCGGTGCATCGTCCTCTCCTTTAGCGTATTGCCTAATCGACATATTGACTCTCGTAACTTCTGATCTCCTTGGCGCAATGTCCGATCCTTCTGTCCCGATGCCCAAACTCATTGCACAAAATGTTCTGCCGATACGTCGACCGATCCTTCGACTCGATGTCCAATTTTCTAATATATTCCACTTCGACCCAACATATGATTCCTTCTACTTTAATTGATTTATCTTTTCTGATCAAAGTTAATCTTGTGTCACTCAAAACGTAGAGTAAATTATAAACTTATTAATTAATTTTATCATTAAAATTCGAGATTCAATGATGTGATAGACTCATTTCAGCCCAGTAGAGTCGATGATCTCACTCATTCTTATTGCTCGGTGCATGAATATAAAACGATATATGTTCATGAAGTAACACATTGAGACAGATGACTCGATGATGCAGTTGTTTCCTGCTCATAGTTGCAAGAATTAGATACAACTTGTCTACCTCTATTGAGCTTAGCCGTGGTAGATTAGTTGGTACATGATGAAATTATTCTACAAGAAAAATAATTTATGATCTCATGTCATTCACATATAATATGAGAAAATAACTCATTTTATTTATATTTAATAATTTATGCATTATAATATTTTAGCTTGTTATATAAATTCAGTTATAAAAATATATATAATTATATCAAATCAAATAAATCATTTATTTTTTCGTTTGATGAAGATAATATTTTGATTTTGATTTGAAAATAATTCTAAGATGAACCTTTCATCTTTGTAGTATTTTCAATCATGATTTATGATACAATTTGTTTCATTACTTTTAATTTATTTTCTTTTACTAAGCCTTGCGTAACTTAGGAAACTAAATTAGAATTATTCTAAATATTAGAGGGTGACAACTTATAACATACAAAATAACCTATAAATTAATTAAATTTATTTAAATTAGTAAGTAAATAATATTGGTCCCGCATCAAGGAACCATCTCGTTATGAACATGAACCAGTTCAAATCCTTGGACTATCCTAGCCTCACGCTCGGATTCCTGTTCCATTATTAGCTCATTAGTTCTCAACGCGCAGGATCATGTGGCCGACGAAGGGAAGCGAAGAACGAGACTCCACCTTCGTCCCATCACCTCAAGCTCAGCTGCGATGAAAAGTTGACATATTTTTAGTGGAAAAAGGAACCGAGATGGCAGGGTCAGTCTGTTGGCAGATCCAAGTTCAGGACGTTTGGGAGTAAATATGACTGGAAAAAAGGGAAAGAATTGGCTGCTTACTTTGGAGTGAAGGTAAAGTGAAAGCAGACGGCAAAAACTGTACGAGCCAATTACAAGGCAATCACCATTTACCAGAGTGCAAAACCTCTCTCCTCTCTCCTCTCTCTCTCTCTCTCCGCAGAAGCTACTGTCGCTGACACTCGAAAACTGACCCCAGCTTCATTTTTCCTTTTGCTCCCATCAAATAAACCCTTCCATGACAAGAGCTCGCAGCTCCTACATCTTGAGAGAGCGCAAAGGTCAGCCTGGCAGCGGGAGAAGCATTTAATGCAACCGCCACGGTTTCCAATATCTCTGCTCCTCCACATTCTTGTATGCCAACACACGCGTGCGGAGTATTGGAAATCGGTTCGTGATCACTGTGATTGCTACTAAACATTCGCGTATGTGGGATTATAATATTATATGAGAGTACGTTCTTCTTCATGGGGATAAAGAGGGACTTGCATCATGAACTATATGCATGCACAATGTAACTGGAAGAATGTTTGCTTAGGATGGGGATAGAAGATCCCAACCGACCCTGATGGGTAGCTCTCAGGTCAAGTAGTCGTTTAGAGCCCATTAATTGTCCGTTGGGGGAAATTTATGGCGGGAGGAAGGCGAGTTAGTTAAGTTAGGTGGCTTTGCCCTATGTTTTTGCTCCCCCCCCACGGTTTTTCATTTCTTTTTCTTTCATATTTTATTAGGTGGTCCGTCCGGAGGGCGGGGCGTATTGGCCGTAGACCTATCCCGCCTCCTTGACTGGTGCCTCCACCCACAGCGCGTGGGGCTGTGGCGTGCACATGAGGGTGCCTGTGCCATCTTGTCACCTCGACGCATGACAGGACACGTGGGATGGGTGACTGAGAAGCTGAGCGGTACCCACCTTTCCTACCAACTGATACAATACACAGACAGATATCGAGATAGGAGGGGTTGGGTGGGCGTCGTGCGGCCTCGATTCTTATGCAATCTCTTGGAATGTCTCCGTGTCCCTTTAACAGTGACCCACGAAGCATCACTCTCCTCCCATCTATACCTACATTTGCATGTTTTATATTTCATATCAAATTCTACCAAATCCTTCCTCTAATTCTTCGCCATTCATGTACGTCCTAGCTTGGGTTGGAAAACTCAGTGTTAGCTGAACTCTACTCCATCATCTTTCATCTTTAATATTTAAATATGAAAAATCAACTTTATTTAATATGAAAAGTCATCAAACACAAATATTTAATATTCAATTTTATTTAGTTTGACACAGCGGAAAAAATAAAAGAGAAGAAAGTGGTACTAAATTGCCATTTTATACAGTTGGTGAGATGGGAAGATGAATCAAACGTCTGTGTCCGACTTCCGAGGAGAGCAGACCTTGGCGTCTTATCGTGTCCATGATTGAACTGCATCAAACCAAACAATTTACTCTGTTTTCCTTGATCATAATTTTTTTAGATTTCGAACTCGGAACGATCATATCAGTAAGACCTTTGACTTTGATTCCTCCGCTCTCTTTTTCTTTTCTCTTCTCGGATGCAGCGTTTATTAATGACGACGTTATCGACATCTTCGTTGCAAATTTCTTCACCTTAACACAAATTTCTTTTTATCGACTCACATATGTAATCTGCTATCAATCAAAGCCTTTTTTTTTCCTCGCTGAACAAAAGAATATTATATTTTTAAGAAAACCAGCATAAGACACTCTTTCAGCGAAAAAACAAGAGTAGAAAAAAAAAAGAAAAAAAAGAGGAAGGGTGTCATGGGAAAGATGGAGAGGCAGAGATTGATAATGGTATTGATGTCGCACGAACTGCGGTCCTGCGAGTTTTTGTACGGGCACGGAAAAGTTATTTCCCAACTCGTGCAATCGCCCCCATCTCCCCACTCCCAAGATCGGAACAGTCTCCTCCCCGTCTGCTGTCTTCTGACCGACCCCTCTTGAATGCATGCACCGCTTGTTGTTGTCCATATATATATATATATATATATATATATATATATATATATATAGAGGTTGTCCATATAATATCACTGATTCTATTATGGCTTCTATCTCTCTTCTTTCTCTCTCTAGCCTTCCTGTGCCACCGCCTCTACAAGTTGAAGCCTTCAGTGTGACAGAGTACTGGCACAGAACTTCACCATTTCGAAATAAGAAACACCGATGTCAAATCAAGGTTTTTGGTGCTGCCACAAGGTGACAAAAGTTGGATCAAGAGGTTAAGAATGACCTTTTAGAACCCATGCAAAGGGTAGAAGAAGAACACCAACCATTAAAGACAGCTCGAAAATTTTGCCAAGGTTTTGAGCTTGTGTTACTTGTAGAGTATTTGCCATCACTCCCACAAATGTTGCTGTGTTGCTCTTCTCCCTCTCATTCTACCTCGTCCTTCTGCTGCAGAAGTGATCATAACGTAAGGTTTACTGAAACAATGTCCAAACATGCATGTAACCTATTCAAAACCAGGATTTCAATCAATAGACCAAGGCAACTATTTGCTGCTTGTTAGGGTTTGATATAATTTTGTGCTGGCATTCGATGTGTATTAAACAAAATGGAAATTGAAATGGAATGCTAACATGTTTTCTGCCTAATGCTTTCATTTGCAGAAGGGGCAATTAATAGCGTCGTAGAACCTGCAGCAACAGTAATAAGCCACATTGCCTTTTGACATTTGGGATCGGCGCAGCGGAGTACAAATACGTCTTGTTATAAGCAGTGAAGCTACAGATGTTTGTACTTGATCTCAATTTGTTCACCCACGCACGCATAAATCTCCTACGCCAGCCTTGCATTTACTTCTTCCCACCTCCATCGAACTTATCTACTTTCCTGTTTAAACCCTCGTCCAGGTGTTCTTTGTACGAAACACACAGGGAATGGCCTTTAATCACACCCCCTCACCAACGCCCCCCCACCCTCCTCCTCCTCCAAACTGCTGCTGCCTATATCTGAACCCTAACCACTCCCCGGTTTCAGTGCTTCCCTATAATAACCCACTCCCTTTCTCTTCCGCCAAAACCTCAAGCGCGCCCAAGATCATCACAGACTCGCCTTGGGTAGTGAGGGGTTGCTGCGTGTGCCATGGAGGAAGTGGAAGTGCTGTGGGAGTTAATCGGAGACGACGTTTCCGAGCAAGGGCTACCTCCTGGTTTCAGGTTTCACCCAACAGATGAAGAGCTTGTCACCTTCTACTTAGCCTCCAAGGTCTTCAACGGGGGTTTCTGCGGTGTGGACATTGTTGAGGTCGATCTTAACAGATGTGAGCCGTGGGAGCTCCCAGGTATGGCTTATCCCAACCAGAACTCCATCGATCTCATGTGCGTCTATTTACTTGTTGCCTGCCAACATGCCTTCGCTCTCTCCAGTGAAGACCCAGTAAAATGCCATTCTGAATGCATGTCTATTAAATACTGGGATATAAAAGAAGAGAGAGATCTTCTGTGTCGTCTATCAATGAGCATCACTAGTATCATCATGACTAAGTTATGATTCCTATTCCGGAGTCTTTTCTGACATCAGCACAGATTCCAGACTATTCTTTAGCTTCTCTTCCATGCACTCCTATAATCCACTCCCTGTCCTTCTGAAACGTCTACCTTGCATTGTTTCAGAAGGTGTTGTCTTTCTTCTTGTACACAGATCACTCTAATGGATACCTAGAAGCATAAATATTAAGGTGCCCAGGATGAGAGATCACTAATACTATTGACGAGAGAGCAGCAATATAACATATATCTTCTGCAGCTTTAGTTCCAAAACTAAGAACAGAGCTAGCTATATATCGGTGGCGTAAATCTTCCGTAACTATAACTGCTGGCTAGGGAACTCTAAAATATGGTTCTCTGTGCTTGTTCATTATGTTTCGCACGAACTGATTGTCTAATGATGGGATGGCACATGATTTATGGTTTTGTGATGACTGGATGACACAGAGGTGGCGAAGATAGGGGAGAGGGAGTGGTACTTCTTCAGCCTAAGAGACAGGAAGTATCCGACGGGGCTGAGGACCAACAGGGCCACCGGGGCCGGCTACTGGAAGGCTACCGGCAAGGACCGGGAGGTGCACAGCGCCACCAGCGGTGCCCTCGTGGGCATGAAGAAGACCCTGGTCTTCTACAAGGGGAGGGCTCCACGCGGGGAGAAGACCAAGTGGGTCCTACACGAGTATCGCCTCGACGGGGAATACTACTGCCGCCTCGCCTGCAAGGTAGTAATCAATCGTTTTTTGTCCAAAACTGTGATCGCCATCTCGAAGCTTGGTTACCTACTTCTCGAGTGAGCTTGGGCAAACTGCATGCACTGCTTAAACTCAAGTTCCTTTCGATCATGTATATGATCGAAACTGCATGACTGTACTTTTATTGGCTAACAACATTCCATTTCGTGGCTACAGTACAAACAAAGGGCATCATAATACTCTAAATTGCACCTCTTTGCAATTGTTTTGCAGGAGGAATGGGTGATGTGCAGAATATTTCACAAGTCAGCAGGAGATCATAGGAAGAGTCAATACTACCCAAACCACGCCTTCCTCTTGGACCCTTCCTCCTCTTCTAACCCTTGCTTTCCCTCATTCCTCGACCTGCCACACCTGCAAGACCCCATCCACAGCCTCCTTCAAAGCGGTAAACTTCCACCCTTCAACTTCTACCAAGAACCCAACTCACTCTTCCCCCTCCTTCCCCTGCCATCAACAACTACCACACTTCCATCCCTACATGAAACGCGATGCTCTTCCAACGACGACCGGAGCTTCCAGCCACCACAACAAGAAGAGACAGGGATCCCTAGTTGGCTCGATCCTTACCTCCAGAACCCTCTACTATACGAAATGGGTCTGCCTCCGCTTGGGCTAGGAGGAGTTGTTCATCACGACCTAACCTTCATGGACGAGACTGCAGCAGGAGAATCTGGACCCCTGGTTTCTTAAGCTCTCCTACGTCTACCTGGCAGTCAATCCATCAACACTTAACATCTACTAGTGTTTGCACAGTATATAAGGCGTTCTCCGGGACTACGTACGTATGTATGTTTGAATGGTAGTATGTAACCTGCTTAATTAGCTCTTCAGTGAATGAGTAGGATGTTGCAGCTGATGAACCAAAAGATTTCCGTCTTTTTAGTTGGGAAGTCGAATATGAAAGTGATTTGTAATTGTCCATCTTCTACTGATGTGATGTGGTCATTTTGGGTTGCAAGTTTTGAGGTGATGGATGGATGGATGGATGGATGGACGTCCCACGTACCGTGCATGGTGATCTGATGGAACAGGGTTTTTGCACGCCTTCATGCACGCAATGACGTTGGAGGATTGCATTGACGTGACCAGGAGGAGACGTACGTTTCATATGGAAGTGGGTTGCCTTCGCGCATGGATGTGCCTATGCCACCCATGAGTCAACTCGTTGACAATGATGAAAACTTTTTCCGGCGAATGAGAGCTGCTTTCCTCTAAAATCCAAATGTGGCTACTTTTTTTTTCTCTCTCTGAATAAATCACAATATCATTCTATTGCAAGGGACACTCTTAGAGATACTTGCAATATACAGTCAACTGGATAACTATATGAATTTGCAAAGAAGTAGTTTCTTATTTTCTAGTACCTCACAACAAATACGATGGATTCGTATCGTAGCAGTGAAGGTGAAGAACCCATAGAAAAAATTAAATACCTAGCATGATTTGAAATAGCTCCCAGTTCCTTTACCAAAGAGTTTTGTGTTTTGTGTAAGCCAGCGTTCGAAAATTAAACCCAAAAGTCCACGAGATCAGAAGAAGAAGGTTTCATGCAAGGCTTTCTAAGCAAACCGATTATAAAGTGTTACATCCAATACGTCATTATTTATTATTTTTCAAAGGAGAAGATGATTGAGAGGTATAGTGTAACACGCCTAGGCTTTAGGCTTTTTATGGTAAGATGTGGAAACTGTTGGGAGTAAGATTTAATCCGTGGAATGGTTGTGCGAAATCATCGATGGTTACTCGGACGTAAAGGGTCAACGCATCGGGCTTTACAGTCGATGTTGTTGTGCATCATGCTGACCACATGAGGCACTTGGCTAATGTGTCGGACAAATTTCAACCATTTGTTGATGTTATCATCTCCCCTGTTAGATGTGTCCAACCTCCTTTCTTTATTGATTGATTGATTGATTTTTTTTTTCTTGTTGTTTGGTGCAGACATGAATTTTGTTGTGGCTTTCCTTTAACTTGCCCACATGAGGAGCAAAGCTCCTAAGAGGAAGCCTCTCTGCCTGCACATTAGAAGCCCACCTTCGGCCTAAGAATCGAGCCCCCCGAGCATATCAAGGGAGTGTGGTAGGAGTTCACAACCCAGGCTCATGATAAAATTAATTCAAATAATTAAGATAGGATGTAACAAAAATAAAAATTTAGATTAAGATAAATAGATGAGTCGTTAATTTTTTAATGCGTCCATGAGGATGAGGAGGTTTGTTGGACTACCGGTGACTTCTATCTTATTTAAAAAAATTATAATTCATCTTTTTAGTATTACAAATACTTGTTCTTGGATAAGTTCAAAGCACCATGGATTGAAAGTATTCTTCTTTTCTTCAACTGTCATTTCCTCTTTCTTCTTAAAATTCTATAGGAAGCCATACTTAACAAGTATGGTATCTGAGCTTGGTTCGATGAAGACCACAAGAAGTACATCGATTATAAAAGAATGGAAGATCAGTAGATTTAGTGAAAAAAAAAGATAACAGGTATTATACTCAGTATTTCTAATCAACTTCTTCTTATCTTTAAAGGTAAAAATTATCAATTTTACCATTAAATGAGAACTTCATTTATTTCATAAGGATTGTAGAATTTGATAGAAAATAGTTTTATTAAGTATAATGTATAGGATCCAAATGTTATTAAAGATAAAAAAGATCAAATAAATAAGAACATACAAAAACATATAACAACTCTCTACATGTTATAACAAGCAATAAAGGAGTCTCTATTTCTCCAAATCATATCAGCATCAACATCAATAGAAGTTTAAAAAATATTAAAAATATTTTTGGAGATACAAACAAGATAAAAACTTTAACACTTCAGATTCTTTGATATGAATTGAAAACTTTTATAACAAAATATTTTAAATTTATTACTGATTTTTCTGAAAAATATCTTCTATTATGAACCAAATGAGGTCTTATGATGAAAGCCTGAAAAATCAAACAATAATAGAAAAAGTTTTATGAAGTTTATATCTAAATTTGATACAATTTTTACTACTATAGAAGAAGTTATAAATACAAATATATTGTCTACTGATGAATAAATGGGCTCGTTTCAACAAGAAAGATTACATATAGATTACAAGAAAGACCAAAAGAAAAATTATGATATTAGATCTCTAGAGAGAGGTCAAAATGGTAGAGGCACTGTAGCGCTCAAGGAAGAGGACGAGATCGATCAAATGGGAGTCAAAGAAACTTTAATAAAGATAACAAAGAAACCCGTTGATAAGGATATTTAATCCCATATTGGTTGGGAAGTAGGGCAACCAAGGGTTTCTAAGTCCACCGGGTCACCCTTACCATTAAAGGCACATTTTGGGACTCATGAGCTCTAAATGGGTAAAATCGTATGAGCATACCTAAAGTGAACAATTTTTTGTGAGTTTATAGGGTCACATTGATAAATCAAATTCTTGTTGCAAGAAAATTGAAAATATTGAAAAAAAATTATTTATAAAAATAAAAATCAAAGTATTCCTCTCTACTTTCATCGTGAAAAGGATTGTTGGAACAAAAATCAAGCAAATTATCATAAATAAAGTAATAGTAAAAAGTAATAAAGAAAATATTTCTTTATAGCATCTGATTAAGAATATTTTAGATCTATTAGGTTTTTTAATAGTAGATGTAATAATCATATGGCAAGGGATAAAAGTTTATTTCAAATGTTAATTGTTTAATTAGATCAACAGTGCATATGAGAAATGACAATAAAGTTCAAGTGGAGGAAAAAGGAACAATTATTGTGAATACCAAATATGATAAAAAAAATTAATGATATAATGTTTATTCCTAGTTTAAAACAAAATTATCATTTGTATAGGATAGTTGATAAGAAAAGAAAATTATGTTATTTGTTATGTAAAAATTATAATTTATGATAAGAAAATTAAAAAATTAATATCAATTGTGAGTATGATAAAATAAAAAATATTTCCTTTATTATTTTCAAATATCTCCTTGCATTCCTTCATTGCTACTATCGTTGATGAATCAACATTATGGTATAAAAGATATAGTCATCTAAATTAAAATGGACTAGAACAATTAAACTAAGATAATATGATAGTTGATTTGCTTAAAATTAAAAATAAAAATATTATTTGTAAATTTTATATTGTTAAAAAATAACATAGAAATTCCTTTCAGAAGGGCATTCTTAGAGAGCCAAATATCCGTTAGAACTTTTACATAAATATATTTGTGGGCTTATACAGATTGTCTTACATAGTGAAAGTAAATATTTTTTATTATTTATAGATGATTGCATAAGGATGATATTAGAATTTTTTCGAAAGAAAAAACTATAGCTTCTTTCGTTTTAAAAATTTTCAAAGCATATATAGAAAGATAAAGTGGTTATTTTATTAAAATTCTATGTACTAATAGAGGGAGTGACTTCATTTTCAAAAATTTCTTTATTTTTCTAAGGAATGTAGGCATCTACAAGGAACTGATCCCAAGGAAAATGTAGTAGCAAAACTAAAAAAATATGTTTGAGATTATTAGTTGTATGCTTAAAGCAAAAGCAATACAAAAAAAGTTTTAGGTAAAAGCTACGAGTACAACTATATTTGTTAAATCACTTTTCTACCATACAAGAAAAAATATCTTATGAAGCATGGTTTGATAGAAAGCCAAATATGAGTCACTTAAAGGTATTTGATTATGTTGCTTACTTTCATTTTCCTATAATAAAAGAAATAAACTTGGTGATAAAAATATTAAATGTATATTTGTGTGGTATAGTAATGAAACAAAAAAGTTTTAAACTTTATGATCTTACAACTAATAAATTGATCGTAAGTTGTGATGTTATTTTTAGTGAAGAAGAAGTTTAAAACTCTAAAATAGTTAAAATTTCAATAATTATAGGAGAAAAAGTCTATAAGGCACATGATACATTGCCTATTGTTAATACCTCACTCAAACCCTCTCATATTTTGAATAATTCTAATTTAAGTGATTCTAGTATTATTGAAATACCTTCAAGGGAATTTCATAGTTTTTCATCAATACATCAATATAGTGATTTTGCATATTTTGCATTGGAACCTATTTATTTTGAAGTTATGGCCCAGAAAGAAGAATGGGTGCAAGTAATGAATGATAAACTGTAAGCTATTTGACCCCAAGAAGACAAGTAATTGGACTCAACTGGGTATACAAGTCAAAATTTAATGCTAATAACTCACTATAAAAATAAAAGCTCGATTAGTTGTCAAAGGTATTAGCATTGACTCTGTTAGGATAGGATTGTAAAGGCACTAAGCTGGGGGTGAGGGGATGGGAGTGAGTGGAGAGTGAATTAGTGCTTTCAAAATAAAGAAATGATTTAAAAATTTATTAGATGAAAACTTAGAATATGAGTAAGTATAGTAAGCAATTAAATTAGTAAGCAATAGCAATGAAGAGAAAAAAAGGGAATGCACACCGAATTTATAGTGGTTCGGTCACTACGACCTACGTCGACTCCTAATTGCTCCTCTGTTGAGGCCACTGGCTTTCATTAATGATCTTCTTTTCAATGGACGAAGATCACCTACCATTGTTATAACTCTTTTCTCTTTTTCATAGGTTTAGAAGAGAACCTTTATAACTCTCTTTTATAAGAAATCATCACATCTCCCTCAGAATGACTTTCAATAGAGTTTATGTCAGGAAATCTAGGGGCGATATCATATGCGCAGCAGAAGAACAAAAGAAAAATCCCATATTTTCACAAAAAAACGGTTCTATTGTCGTGTGAA